TGTAAAATGGAAGTTGGCCCTGCCATTTATTACCACATTTAAATACATAAATTCGTCATAATTTACCATGCGAACTGCAGATTTTAGAAGTAGTCCACACAGCATATACGAAACGGGTAATTTTCGAAACATTTTTTGCCTACTCTTGCCTACATTTTCACTTATTGTCTTGGTATTATTTGTTTCGAGTTACCGATTATTACATTTGCCTGTCATCTTTAATGGGCAGCAGTTGCCATAACTGATGTTTGGAAAGTTGCATAAGAATTTGTTTTTATGGTAGAGATCGATCGATGTAGAAGACATAACGATGCTTTCTGCCGTATCTTAGCTATGCATGAATTTATAGATCGATTTGCCATCCAAGAACACGGACGTAATCCATTTGGCCTTTTCGGCGGACGAACAAGCGGTCTACGATCACCTGTTTGCCGCTTCCAGGTAAAGTAGCGTTGTTTCCTAATTTGTATTTTAGCGTCATATGTTACATTTCAAAGGTTTCAGTAAAAAACACGCCCCCCAAACAGGGTATCTTTACGTAATTTGGGGTCTTTTGCGGAAAGAAAGTAAATGGGTAAAATTGAAGGGGTAGTTAATCTTCATCCATGGAAGAAATGGGCGCTTCAAACTTTGTTCCGCAAGACAATGCGACAGAAAACTCCACAGTAAAAGTTTGCAGCAGATAGCCAAGCGGTGTAAATCGTGGTTTGTAAAACCAAGACAGCACAACTTGCAATATCAGTTGTGATATTCACCGAGACTTCGCGTAGCCGAAGTCTTTATCCGGTAGCCCGGAATGACATTCCTTGCTATAATCGTTTGGCTGCCGCCAGTTTGCACTTGTAATAATGTATCAGTTGGCAGATATCAGTCTCTGTCAAGCATTTGATTCATCCGCTGTTGTTGCATGTGCTTAGTGAATAGCTCTCCATCAGCTGGATATGTCTCCTAATATGTAACATTAAGACATGAATCAGATAACTGGTACAGACAAATATTTTTCAGTTATGTTAGTTAAACCACACAGTCACAACGGTCTGCGCCAAAAAGTTACGGACCGTCCGCAAATGCCGGGACGTTGGGAAGTTCCGTCAGCTATACGGGTCATAGAGCCGATTCTGTAGTGGGAGCTGAATCTGCTGACTTTGCCGGTCAACAGTGTTTCTTGGCTGAAGCTGTGAAGAGCTAGTCACACATGTCTATCGTCAAGTTTAGATCTGAAATCTGCACCATTTGTAGAACTTGTAATATTACGCATAACCGCAGATGATTAATTAGTCAGCTAGCGCCGTGTACATGTTGAATAGCGTCTACGCATCGATTGTTGGTGTTCCATGAGCATGTCATGCCTAGCGTTCTTTCCTCTTTGAATAACGTATGCCATCTATCACGTTGTTTTATTCAGCAACTTCACGGACCTAGCACATTTCATGCTGCAGAACGGCAGATGTGGGTTCAGGTGGATGAATATACCATCTGCATTGAAATTGAACTCATCAACTTTACATATCAAGCTGAGTTGTAAGACTTTAAGACTAGCGGAAACCATTTTTGTTTCTTTGCACATTGCTGACAGCGAAAATGGCGTCGTACGGCTTATTAGCTACTTATATAGCGAGGTTGATATAATTAGTCATCTTACAGTGTCAAGCGTATAATATATGACATTGCCATTAATTTTAAGTTAACGCCCAAAATATGAGGAAGAAAAGAAAAAGGGTTATTTCACTGGCCCTCAAAAATGTGAGCAAAAAGTCATCTTGAGGCTGAAAAACAGCATTAAACACGGTTTGTTAATACCATGGTTAATCGAGTGATTGACCATTACCGATGTTTTGATTCGTGTCACGAGCCTTCTTCAACGTATGATGTGGTTGGAAAAGTTTCTAAGCTTTTTCTTGTCTGCTGCGGATGGTACGTTGGGCTGAAACTCTTAAACTTTTCCAACTTCCAACCGTGAAGAAATCGGACACCTGAGTCATGCCACCAATGCATGAACTAAATTTTTCACTTTCAGGATGTTTCTTTTAATGCTTCTTATTTTTTGGTACTTAAATGGTCGCAATTTCAGGCTGTACGTCGAACAGTATGTAATACGGAGAAATCAGCACACTCTAATGACATCGTCCGGTACGATTGTTGGAGAGGAACCGCAACTGACTTCAAGTGGCAATCTTCGTAACCCCTTTTTCCGTAAGATTTGCTTTTGTTCAGTGATACTTTCCACCAGTTATCTATTCAGCGCTGATTTTCAGGCTGTTGGAATGACGATCCAAAGGTGACGAAAAGCGTCAATGTATTGGTGATCTTATTGCGTTTACGTCAAGCGTGTGTTCACTTCGCATTAACCAAGCAAGTGAGTGAATAGTTCGATTTCTTGTCGTATACTCAAGCTCGCTGCACGCTCACAATTCAGGATATCGATATCAACGCGTTGAAGCAAGACGCGCCTGGGGAAAATCTAGACGACGAATTCAGGGACCTGTTGAAGGTTGACGACGAGGCATTGACCACACGTCCCTCTTTTGAACGTTTATTTGAGCAATCGTACGTGAGTACCAAGGTCAGTCGTGACTTCAGATATATGTTACTTCATGTTGCTGTATGTTATATTTAAAGATTTATACCCTGTGCCGATTTAGTCAGCTCTTAGACGCTTGAGAGGGTGTTTTAGCCATAAAATGCCTCCCTCAGACAACAAGATCTTAGTCTTCCCACGCACTCTCATATTCATACCAGATTATTGTATTGTTTACAGATCGTTGATCTGCTAGCTATTCTCCGCTGATTGTATCAAAGGATAGTGGGCTGGATTCCGTGTTCTGATGAATTTATAACCTTTAAAAGGAGCTTATTAGCAATATACGGAAACAGTTCATTTTCGCTTAAATTTAAAGCCATGCTTACCTCTTCGTCTCTGTCATCTAAAATTCTATACTTTTCTCGAGTTATAAATCAGTATTTTCAGTTCTCTCTTATTAGTCTGAATTCCGAAGCGCGACTGTGCTTCCTCAGTTTTTCTCTATCCATCTTGTTTTCAGTCTGTTCGTTGCTTGTTTCCATGTAGTTTGGCGAATAGAGTCAGTTTTCTGATGATGTAATACAGATAATGTAATATATGCTGTGTCATGACATTGGCTGTTCGAAATTGCACAAACGGGTAAACATCATAATTACTCTAAGTGACTCACTACGTTGATATCTCACCATATGAGACCAATGTTTAATAGATATTCTAGTATTTAATTATCTATTATATCTCATTTGTTGTCACTTTCTATTACTACTTTTTTAATTCACTGTCTGTAAATTATTTTATGACAGCTATATAAAAATCATGCACTGTATTTCAAATTTGTTAATAATTGCATTTTCCTACTGTGATTTAGCATGGCATATATCTATTGTTCCTAAGGATTCGCATGGCATTAATTGCATTGCACTCTCCCGTTACTTGTAGATGCTTGGAGATCTAATTAACTTTTTAAGCATCATGCTTCCATGGTATAGTACCTGCAGCCTGCAGCGTGTATTCTTATCGTCATCAGTGGTCACAGACCATGACGGTTCCACTAACCCGAGAATACTGGTATCTGACCTGCAAGATGGATAATTCGAATTAGTTTAAGCATTTGCTTTTGCGGCAAAGGACGTTGTTTTTGTCTTGAACAGATGCTTCTACGATGTTGCGTCATCCTTGCAACTGACTCGGAGTTTTCTATACCCATTCGTCGGTGCCCATGATAGGAGCATATTCTGAAGTTCACTCTTTTGGTTCTTATGAGCCATGCTGTTCAGCCACGACCGCCGCTGATTTTCTGATTCTTTGGAGATGTCGTTCAGTCTAATGGATTTGAGTAGACTACGTTCGTAACTCGGTGGTGCCAGTGTACGTTAATTATGCTTCGATGGCATTGCTGTTACAACCGGTCCAGTTGATCTTCACTGTGCTTTATGACCGCACTTGTGTCTCTGCCATATCGGAGTATGAAAATGACTGCTGCTCTCAAGATAGTGATCTGCGCATTCAGTGAATCGGTTCTATAATTCCATTTCCCGTTCTGGTTTTACAAGGTTTCTGTTGCTAGTCCTATGCGTTGGTTGATATCATAACTAACGTAGTAGCCATGACTGAGACCAAATGTTTCAAATGGTCGGCTGCTACTTGTTGCAGATATCTATCATCCTTACGTCAAATTTCTTGGTTTTGGTCGTTGTATCAGCAAATGGGTGTGAACCAAGCATCGCACAGTTAGTGATATAATATCGTAATTAGAGTGCAACAAAGACGCAGCCCCACAAGTGATCACACAATGACAAAATGTCAGTACCTCCAGTGTGCGTTTTGAAGGTCGAATCTCTGAGTTTCGAATACGAACCAGTTTTTTCAGTTCAGTGGCCTATACGTGAAGGAAAGAGGAGTTTTAAATGTTTTAGTGCATATAACTTGTTTCACTCGTTACCTGTGTCATTTTAGCTCCAGGCACTTATGCTTCGCGTTCATTCAATCCTTGATATTCATTCTGACCCTCGGCAAAAAATGTAAGTTATCTTTCTT